ACTCATTGGAAATCCTTCTTTGTTTTAAATAATTTTACCTGTTGAATATAGTTCATCTATATAAAGGATATATATGTATATGCAAATATATTACAACTCTAGTAATTTCATAGATTTACACAATTTTTACGAGTTGTATTCCCTTACATTGCGAGTGCAGAGCCAAAGTTAAACGATTTGGAAGATGCCAGAAGCGACTTTTCCTTTATAGATAGATAAACGTATAAAAGTACAGACTTCGAGTGAAAGGCAATTGAAGCGTTAAACTCAACGCATTTACAACTTTATTTTTTCCTGCTTCGTCGGAAATTTGTGGCTGGAAATTGCAAAGCGACAGCTTCGGGCACTTTCTTGAGACTTTGGCCAAAGTTCACATCAAAGACGCTGGCAAGCAACCTTTTTGGGGTTGCCACACGACAGCCCATCCAATGGGGTGTGGCCAGCTGCTGGGCGGAGTCAAATGCTATGTGCAGGAGATTATTGTGGCTGTACCTGAATATATACGTATATATATATAGTCAGACATCTATACATGCATATCTGAGCTGTGTCTATTTATATACAGTTGTATCAAAGCTAAAGCGCATTTAATTAATTAACCCTTTGCGTGCTCAGCGGTTACGCTTCGTGTCCTTCCGGCTCAGCTCAGTTTCAAGCGCCTGTTTGTGCAGCGTGAACAAAACATTTTGCATACTTTTAGGCAGCGCAGTAAGCATTATTGTGTGTGTGTGTGTGTGTGCAAAAGGATTTGCTGTGCTGGGCGCGGCACTGTCTGGGGGCGCGGCTTTTAGCCTTTGGCCTGGCAAATGCGCCAAATCACGTTTGCTCCACAAATATTGAGGTATTCTGCTTTGGCGCGTGCCTGTCCGCCCGTCCGTCGCCTCGTTCCACGCACAAATTAGCATGTCCACTCATAATTGTCCCTTCGTGAAGAGATGACCCGCTGAGATAACTGTCCATAGTTGTAACTGATTTGCGCTCCGTCTACCTCGCCTGCTCAGCGCCTTCTTTAGTTGCTTTCAGCATTTGATTTGCCATTTCGTTTTTATGCGACCATCGCGTGCGGCTAATGAGCTCAACTCTTTGTCCACATTTTATTATCTCTGCAGCTATCTACGCACGGCTATTGATTCGATATGAGGTCCAAATGTCAAAGCCCTACTAAATGTCAAAGACATGCTAAATGTCACGCAGATATTATTGGGATCATAAACACGTTTTTGGGCGCTAAGGGATTTCATTTGC